AATCAGACATTTCTGCTACTGCTAATAATAACAATAGTAGTAGTAATAAATAATAATAATTATAATAATAAATGCGATAGAATTGAAGAAAGAAATTTTACAAAAATACGAAGGAGTGGTTGACACATCGTCAGTGTGGCTTTGTCTATGCCGGAGTGAGCATCAGTCTCCGTGCTCTTCCAAATATTTCATAATAATTCATTGTGTTTGGTGCTTGTAGACTGAGTGCGACTGGAGTGGTAGAGGCAGTGGTTGGGGAAGCGGTTGAGGCAGTGGGTGAGGCAGTGGGTGAGGCAGCGGTTGAGGCAGTGGGTGAGGCAGCGGTTGAGGCAGTGGTCGAGGCAGTGGTATTTAATAACATACATGTTATTAATAATACATGTTATTAGTAATATGCATTATTATTTATAACATGTTATTAAATACCACTGCCTCAATTGCTGCCTCTACCATTGCCTCAACCACTGCCTCTACCAGTGCCTCACCCACTGCCTCAACCATTGTTTCACCCACTGCGTCAACCATTGTTTCACCCACTGCCTCAACCACTGCCTCAACTGCTGACTCAACCACTGCCTCATGCACTGCCTCTACCGCTGCCTCACCCAATGCCTCAACCGCTTCCCCAACCACTGCCTCTACCACTCCAGTCGCACTCAATCTACAAGCACCAAACAATGAATTACTGTGAAATGTTTAGAAGAGCACAGAGACTAATGCTCACTCCAGCATAAACAAAGCCACACTGACGATGTGCCAACCACTCCTTCGTATTTTTGTACAATTTCCTTCTTCAATTCTATCATATTTATTATTATTATAATTTATTATTATATTATTACTACTACTACTATTGCTATTATTAGCAGTAGCAGAAATATTTGATTCTTTGCTGTGTTCAAGAGTCAACACATGATGTCACCGTCCAATACCTGTCCAAATAGTCATTCCAATATGCAGTCATGAATGGGTTTACATTATTTATACTGTAGTTTAATAGTAAATAATGAACAAACAAAATACTCACCACACTGGTAGGAGGGTTGGCTGCCAGTTGGGTGAGTCGGAGGGAGGGTAGTAGGGACTCGCAGTGGTTGAGAAAGTGGAGGCAGTGGTATTTAATAACATACCTGTTATTAAACCATAACATGTTTTTAGTACAATTTACGACATTTTCATGTACTTTATGATTGTTCATGGTTCAACAAGTTAAGGAAGAAGTATTGTATTATATTTCCCTACAATATATTGGGGCACCAAACATTCGCGATTTTTCAACATTCGCGAGGGTCTTGATCCCCTAACCCTCGCGAATGTTGAGGGAGACCTGTATACACAAAAATTCTAGTGGCTTCAAATCAAGCAGGAGAAAGCTGGTAGGCCCACATGTGAGAGAATGGATCTGTGTGGTCAGTGTGCACCATATAAAAAAAAATCCTGCAGCACGCAGTGCATGAAAAAAAAAAAAAAACTTTTTGGATTAAAACGCTGACTTTATTGTGTATTTTCATACAGTATTTATGGTTATATTCTCGTTTTCTTGGTCTCATTTGATAGAATGGAAATTATTATTATAGAAATAGAGGCGATTTTGATTGGTTCTCCTATGAAAAGAGCCTTGAAATGGAGCTCAAACTAGGGGAAATGTTTGATTTTTGCTGATGTTCAAAAGTAAACAAATGATATTGTCCAATAACTGTCCAACTAGCCATTCTGATATGCAGTCATAAATGAATTACATTATTTATACATTACAATACTGCAGTAGTCTGCATAACAGTAATTCTTCTATTTTTTGTTTGAATAAAAATTCAAAATAGAAAGCAAGAGTAACATCAGAGGAGCCTGGAGACGTGACTGATGAACAAAGAAAATGTTATTTTAGAGCCAGGAATGTCTGCATTGTTAATACTGGATCCTATTTTGAAACTGGCATATTTTTTAATTTGCGTGAAATTGGTCAAATTGCAAATTTCTGACCACATTATTGGGTAGTTGAAATCTTTAAATGGGCAGTTTTTTGTGCTCATTCGATAGAATAAATGGAGGTCTAAAGAAATAGCTACGAGTTTGGGCGACTGGAACAGTGAAATTAGCCGAAAATAGGGCTCAAAGTGGGCAAAATTGCCGATTCGTAAATATAGCCGAGGTCGCTAACTTCGTGAGAGCATAATTCTGCAAGTTTTCCATCAAGTTTCGTTCTTTTGGTGTCATTACCATTGGGAAAAGATTCTCTATCATTTCATAAGAAAAAATAATTTTTTTTTTTAAATTTTCGACACCAGGAGACACCTCAGGACTTGGGGTTCCGACAGTCAAAGGGTTAAGCTAGAAATCTGACCACAGAGCACTGCCCTCAGCCCTCAAGAAGTATGGGTTAATGAACTTAATGGGTTTTGACAATGTCATATGATTCTCGTGTGAGAGAGAAGAGTATTATATGCTAGAGTTCCACTATATCCAGTGCAAAAGTCATCCTCATCAAGTCAGGTCCTTCAAAATGTAAGGAAAAATATTTTTGCTACCTATTTTCTGTTCATCACAAAAGTTGCAATAAAACTTTTTTAGACATTTGTGAAGTATTTTTGCAGTGTTTTGCTCCTAGTAGAATACAGCTGGGTCTGTATTAGAGCCCTGTAGGTACTTTCTTAATTATTAAGTTGTTATACTGCAGATATTCTTTTCATTAATAAATTAAGAAAATTATACATGTATTTGCTTGTATGTCAAAAGTCAAGTTTATCTGGCATCTTCAGTGTTTAAAGATAAGATGCCCTCAGAAAGAATACTGTGTGATGACTTAAGAATAAACCATACAACATTCAAATCACTCTGGAGGTTTATGACCCCACCCATGGTACAGTTTATTCAAATCGGACAAACTGTTTTCTTTTCTTTCCTGATTACTAGCATGATCTCGACTGATAATTTAAATCTCTTTGCTACTCCCTACATAATTGCACATTAACTGATACTGGCTCCAGTGCTTGTGAATAAATAGTATTTGTACTCGGGCAACTTCCTTAACCCCTTGACTGTCTCAACCCCAAATCCTGAGGTGTCTCCTGGTGTTGCAAAATTTAAAAAGAAAAAAATTATTTTTTCTTATGAAATGATAGAGAATCTTTTCCTGATTGTAATGACACCAAAAGAACAAAATTTGATTGAAAACTGACGGAATTACGCTCTCGCGAAGTTAGCGACCTCGGCGATGTTTACGAACCGGTGATTTCGCCCACTTTGAGCCCTATTTTCAGCTAATTTCATTGTTCCAGTCGACCAAACTCATACCTATTTCTTTAGAACTCCATTTTTCTATCAATTGAGTACAAGAAACTGCCCATTTACTAATTTCAACTGCCCAATAACGTGGTCAGAAATTTGCAAATTGGCCAATTTCATGAAAATTAAAAGATACGACAATTTCAAAACAGGGTCCAGAATGAACAATGAAAACATTCCTGGCTCTAAAATAACATTTTCTTTGTTTATCAGCATCAGTCATGTCTCCAGGCCCCTCTGATATTACTCTTGCTTTCTATTTTGAATTTTTATTCAAACAAAAAATAGAAGATTTACTGTTATGCAGACTACTGCAATATTGTAATAATTGTATAAATAATGTCAACTCATTCATGACTGCATATTAGAATGGCTACTTGAACATTTATTGGAAAAAGACATCATTTGTTTACTTCTGAACATCGGCAAAAAACAAACATTTCCCCTGCTTTGAGCTCGATTTCAAGGTTCTTTTCATAGTAAAACCAATCAAAATCACCTCTATTTCTATAATATGTTTTCCATTCTATCAAATGAGACCAAGAAAACGAGAATACAACCATAAATACTATACAAAAATAGACCACAAAGTCAGCATTTTAATTATAAAAACGTTCAGTTTTTTTTTTCTCATTATGCACTGCATGCTGCAGGATTTTTTTTATATGGTGCACACTGACCACACAGACCCATTCTCTCACATGTGGGCCTACCAGCTTTCTCCTGCTTGATTTGAAGCGGCTAGAATTTATGAATATATATATGTCAAAAACGGTGGCTCGTAAGACGTATATATACGACCAAAACAGTCCAAGGGTAACCCTTTCAGGGTCCATGCCATAGTATTGTGTGTTGAGCTCAGCTCACTCAGATAAGATGCGAGTGGTGAATTTGGGACTAATTATGATATAATGGGTTGATGCAGTAAGTGTGTAGCATATAAAATAAATCTTGCAAGACACAATGCATAATGAGAAAAAAACAACAGACAGTGTTTTTGATTTAAAACAAACTTTGCAGTGTAGTTTCATATAGTTTTTATGGTTGTATTCTCTGTCTCATTTGATAGAATGGAACATATACATGTATTACAGAAAGAGATGTTTTTGATGGTTCAAAGTAGCAGAAATTTTAGATTTTTGCCAATGTTCAAGAGTAAAGAAATCATGTCACACATCCAATACACATCAACTGGTGGGTCCAATATGTGTTCACAAATGCAATGACATTATTTATGCAATTATTACAATATTGCATTACAGTAAATCTTCTATTTTTTTGTGTGAATAACAAATCAAAATAGAATTCATATGTAAAGCCTGGGAACATAACTAATGAACAGAGAAAATGTTAGTTTAGTGCTAGGACTGCCTGTATGGTTCATTCTGGACCCTATTTTGAAATAGGGTCCACTATTTTGAAATAGTGTGTCAAATTGGCCAAATTGCCAGTTTCCAATGACTTTACTGGGTAGTTGAAATAGCTGACTTGGCGGTTTCTTGTGCTCAATCAATAAAATAGAAGGCATACCACTGAAATAGCTAAGAATTTTGTCAACTGGAACAATGTAACTGACCTAAAATAGGAACACTGTAACCGACCTAAAATCGCCAATGCGTAAATATCGCTGATATAGAATAACTCAATAACGTAATTTTGTAAATTTTTCATCAAATTTCATACGTTTTGTTTTATTACCTTCATTTTTTTTTTGTTTTTTTGGGGGGGGGGGTCTTGGACCCTGTGGATAAGAGTTTCAGATCGACAGTCAGGACCCTGAAAGGGTTAATAAACCATTATGATGAATTACAATATTTAATTAATAAAAATTATTACCTGGATGTTGTAGAAGTCTTTGAAGTGGTGGTTTGTGTGGTGGACATTTTTTGTCTGCAAGAGTTATTAAAGGAGTTAAAAGTTACAGGTTGGTGTATAATTCATTACTATCCAAAAGTATTAGTGATGATGACCTCTGTTTCCTTTAATATTTCCTCTAATGCTAATACAGTAATTAAAGAGAGACTGAAGCAGTAATTAATAACAAAAACTATTGGTTACATTTTAAAAAGAAAATTTAAATATCATGCGATCTAAAATTAAACGGTAGATCTTTTGAACATTTCATTCTACATACATTACATTAGTATAAATCTACATATTAAAAGGACAAATGAGAACGACTGTTTTTATTACTAGTATAAACTCGTGCACTCCAATTCATGCCTACTCTATGGCCCATGTTAGTTACCTCAGAGTTGGTATTTTGCTTGTGGAATGATTGGAGTTAAGACTAGTAGTTGAAGAAGTTCGGGACCTGTAGAAATCATTTAAGTATTATGCATGTTCCCAATGTATTAGCATATTGGATAATTTTTCCTTAATAGGAATTGTTAGCAGGTGACATTAATAATGTTAAAGTAACTAATTGCTGTATAATCTGGTTATGTAGCAAACTAACAACTTTTGAATAGCATATAATGTACTCCTTCTAGTTTACTCATTCCACTGAAATAAACAACTGAAGCACAATTCAGACCAAAAAATATTAAATTCTTCATTGTAGTTTTAAAAACTGGTACATGTACTCTATATACATTTCTCTTGTGCAGGGCAAGTATAATGCACAATGTACTTCAATTGTAAATCATTTCTTCAAAATTGGGAGGGTTTCTTTACCTGAGGGGTGTCCCTGGTACATTCAGGTTAGATGTGGAGCCAGATAGGTTAGTCCTGGGGGGTGTCAAAGAAATTGCCATCACCACAATGTAATGTAATATAATGTACTAGCAATAATGGCACTATATCTTGGAGTTGCAAGCACAACTATTTCTCAAATTGATATAAAAACTTTTAAAATACTAAGTATTTGCATATACATTTAATGCATGTCATTTCATTGAAAAGTTCATTAAATTTTATTTTAACTTAGGATTCAGATACGTAACACGCATGCAAACATCTACAGTATTTTATTACACTTTAATTTTTAAAATGCGGAACACTTCGAATTTAATTATAAATTCACTGCAAACTAAGCACGTAAAGGGGCAAACAGAAACCAAAATTGGAAAGTATTTGAATGGCACTTTAATTCTTCAAATTAAAAAAAAAAAAAAAAAGGTATAAAATATAAGCAGGTTAAAATTTAAGGGGGATGTACCAACAAAACATCTATAGCATATGCAGAACTTTTCATGAAAATGACATAGTACTACCAAACACTATTACTTTACCAATTTACCTCTATGCATGGCTTAGTGCTAAAGCTCAGTCAGTCTCTCATGCACAACACAGCTTTGTTAACAACATTAATTTGCAGAAATATTTTTTTCCTATGAGAAATGCAAATATATTTTACTTCAATAATTATGCAACTAAGCCAGATAAATCAAGTTCATTAAAGGTAAAGTCTACAGACTAGAGTAAAATATTTATAATGGTGAAATGGAAGTAAAAAAATTAAGGTTATCTGTAGTGAAATAAGTCAATAAAAATAAAGACCATGCATACAATTTGAAATAAAATAAGAATGCATAATGCACAGCAACACAAGGCCATGAAGTTATATTGAAACTAGCACAACTTTTCTGTATCACCAAGACCAAAATAAAACCGGAGTTCGCAGCCAAACATAATATTTCTAAACCAACCATAGGTTGAGGATGACTTTACACAACTGCAATCACAAGGAAAGCACACTATTCTTTAATGTAAAACAAATGCATTCATTACTTTATCTTAGTTACCATTGGTACTTTTTTTTTTAGAAATGTAAAAACTCAACCTGATATTGGTAAAGAAATTGCATTCTGCCACGATTCCATTTAAGTTATTTTGAGCAAGACTGCACCAAACAGCCAGTAACACCACACCAATTTACCGTTCCCAATCAGAGGCAGGACTCACAAGAACCGGAATTTTGGTCCTAGAGAGAAAGGAGACCCTGTGAACATAGTATCATAGCAGACAAACCACGTGAATCCACCCAAACACCACAATCACACAGCACAGCATCTTATAGTGAGATTGCACCTTAAAAGCCATATCCATTCCAATATATTCTCAGTAGCAAAAGTCATCACCCTGCTTTACACAGAATTAAATAAATCAAATAGCATTCTAAACCTATCGCAGAGGATGTTTTTGGCCTTTTTTTATATATTTTGTAACTTAGAAATGTTACAGCCAAAGCATTACATTGGTAGGCAAGCATCAAATAAAATTTGGTTATGAATACCTAACTTATTTAGTGCACTACCCTTAATTTACAATACTGTATTGTTAAAAATGAGGATATCCCTGTAACAAATAACATGCATTGCATTAAGTCTGAAGCTGAAATGACTGCACCAAGTGCAAATTAATAGCACATACAGCATAAAAATTAATGTACTGTAATAAGCAAGAAAAGAAAAATTATCTATGCCATGAACAAGGATTTAATTTAAGGATTTATTTGCTGGAATATTTACAATATTCTGAGCCTAATTGCAGACGCATTTAAAACAACTAAATGTAGTTTTAGTTAGAAATTTTACAAAGAGGATTTAGGAAAGAATGGTCACGTTTCATTTGGGTTAGTATTTTGGGAGGGGAGGGAAGGAAAGTTTCAAAATCACTGTTCATGAAAAACGTGAAATAAGAATTAAGGTCCCCACAATACAAAGAAATGATAAAAGTAGATTTTGCATGCCACTGCTTACTGATTTACCTAATTCCTGCCTCTTTCAATCGACTGGACAGAGTCGGTGAATATAACCTGGAGGGGAAAATTAGTTAAGTGCCATACAATGTACAACAAACTATAATGTATGTAGTGATGTAAAGAAATCACTGCATAGTGATTTAAGAGAAAGGTTTTATATGTACATGCATTTCATGCTTATCAAGCTGTCAGTAATGTGCATTTACCTAATTCTAAGATTATTACAGTGCATCTCGCCGCAAGTTATGCCAGTGGAATGGAAAATATGGTCAGATAAAAAAAAATTCTCAAGCACAAGTCTGAGTTTTGCATTACATACAGGATGTACTGTATTGAACTATACTTCATAATTTTATTTTATTCTTTCAAGCTTTTTATTTTGCATTATGTAGAGGCACTTTAAAGCAAATAAAATTCTTAAAGAACTCTAATCATACTTCACAAATTTAAAATTTACACAATTTTTTTTTTTAATTGTACCCTCAATTTAATGGGCTAATAGGGGAATTGGGTGGCCAGTAATGGTGATAATGATAGTTTTGCAGTGATCATAAAATAATGTAACCAATAAATTTTGTCTTTTCCCTTATTTCTGAATCAACTTGACTCAGCAGTTTTGTTCCTTATTTCTGAAGTTAGTCACATTGAGGTCTGTTAAGATGAGGGTTTACAGTAATTATAATTTAAATTAGGGATGGGAAGATTCCAATTTTTTTTACCAATAATGATATGCAATTCTTAGACCTAGACAGATACCACCACAATTAGGGGATACCTACCAATACTGGTACTGACACAGTTTTAGGCTGGTGCCAATACTTTGGCACACCCCTAATGTAAATTCATTTGTAGTAAGCCTTTATATAAACAAAGTTGGAAGACCCAAGCCATGTGCCATCACAATCTTCCCTCTCGAGTCTTTCCAGTTAACCATTTTGTTAATGGAGTTTGAATATAAAATTCTTAGACTTAGTGTGTTGGACATCCTCTGAGAAAATATGTACAACCTCGATACTCTATACAAGAAGTCACTTATCTGCCTTGCAAAAAACAATTTTCTAATAGCCAAAACCCTAAACAAAATTTTACTAGTATATTAACATCACAAAAGTATGCCAAGATTTTCAGTAACAAACATTTTGAGATGTAGTGCCCTTGTTCTTAATCTGAAAGTTCCTACTTATTTAAAAAAAAAAAAAATAGTAAAATCAAAATTAGTACACATCTGTTAATTTGTAATTCTTTGCATTCCACCATGGTAAGATTATTGTGTTGTACATCTCTCTCTTAACATTTTCCACATCACGTAACTTGTGTGCAGGACATGATTTATCTCTTTGTTAGCTGTAAATTTATACTTTTTTTTTTTTGCTACTGGTAAGGGAAGTTCTACTTCAAAACAACAATCACTCAAAGTCCCTTGCAACCTTTAGAACCTCAATATATGCATTCAGGATTGAAGAAAACCAAGCCTTTGCTAAAATTCTAAAATAATACCTTACAGCAAACTATTGTGTGCCAGACACTGCCAGCTGAAAACACTAATAAAATTAAGTGGCTTGTGTTAGTTTGCAGGTTACCTGGATGAAGCAGCCACAGCCACAGGAATACTGGATACTGATGGAGTCCTTGGCATACTACGCGACCTGTTAGTTCATTTGTATTTAAGAAAGCAAGTGGGTTGCATTTTTTTTTTTTTTTACAACGGAGATGGCATTATGTTAAATGCTATACATAAATGCTCAGCAAAGCATATCATTTGTCACTTCATGCTAAGTTAAATAAATCAGTACTGTATAAGCATATTACTTGTCATTTCATGCCAAATTAAATAGTGTTAGTGAAGCACAAACAATAAAAGCAACATATTTAAATCATTAGAATTAAGAAGAAACATGCAGTCTATGAAAATTATGTCAGAAAATGTTATGACAATTATAACTTTCATAAATCTTTATAAATAAAACTAAAATGTGAACCCTGCAACATTTTTCATTATATTACCATATATATTAATAAAACTGATCCAGTTATATAGCAGCACTAAGAGAAACAACTTCCAAACAATCTCTAGGTTACACTCCCCAAAATTGACAAAATCAGAAATGACATTCCAATACTCAGTTGCTGCAACTTGAACTGTAGAACATGCATATTTATATTGTACCATATAACTAAAATACACATGCACAAACCTACACACTCACAAAATCCCCCCCCCCACACATGCACACAAAATCACCCCCACACACACACAAACATGAATATGGCTGTCTTGCCAGAGGTGTGCTGACATCACAATTCAGATTATCTTCTAAACTGCAAATACAGTACGGCCCCCACTTTACGGCGTTCCGCTAATATGGCGATTTCAAATTATGACCAAAACTTCCTACATATATGACTCCCCATCTTTCTAATACGGCACGCCCCCAAATTTCCAGTGTTTTAAAGTTACTGCATATTTTATATGTACTCTGATAATTATACTCATGTATACCTGTACCTAAATATACTTACACACTGTGCTGGCATGCAGGTACACATTAAAATCACAGTCTCTCTCTACTCTTGAAGCCATATTAATAATAATAATAATAATCTCACATTAACCCTTGAACTGTCCAAACATTGATCTACGTTTGCACGCGAAGCGCTCCGAACGTAGATCAACGTTTCATTTTTCATTCCTTCAAATTTGGCACAATAGGCTCAAGTCGCCTAGACATGAAAGAATGGGTCTGTGCACTTAGTGTGCACAGTATTAAAAAAATCTGAGAGCAATTAGTACCTTGTGGGAGCACCAGTTCAATCGAGTGCCAGCTAGAGCAAATAGCATGGCAAACACCAGGGATTCACTGATACCATGTCGCATTAACACTCCCATTTTAAGAGGAAAGTAAAAATAGGTTAGATAAATACACGAGTGAGTGTGAGTTGGACCTGACTAGCTTATGCTACTATGCCTGATGTCATGCTCCTTCCTTCAATGGATGTGCCCTGACTATGTGGGTCACTGGTCTAAGTCGGGGTGGGGGGGGATAGACCTGCCTTGCATGGGCCAGTAGGCTTGCTGCAGTGTTCCTTCTTTCTTGTGTTATGTATTCGGCAGGCTGGCCAGCTGGCTGTCTGGCTTTGGCTGTCTCTGTGTCTTTATGTAAGTCTACATCTCTGTCCATCTACATCTGTCTCTCTATATCTGTCTCGCATGTACACATAAGTACAATTATACATAGTGTAAATTACCTAGGATAACCCAAAAAATTCCAGGCAAAGGTAGACAGACAGATATAGATAGACAGATGGACAAACATGTTTGTGTGTATCAGTGAAAACAAACAAAGCCAGGGTTCCCCCCGAGTGCCCATTTATCAAATGTCAATGAGCTGATAACAGATGTCATAACACCATTCTTGAAGGAGTGTGATATACGTATACTCCAGGCAGACAGAAAGATAAGCAGAGACAGACAGACATAGATAGACAGGCAGATAGAGAGACATGTTCGTGTGTAACAGTGATAAATACAGCCAGGGTTAGCTGGAGCAGTGGGCATTTATCAAATGTCACTGGGGTGTCAACAGTATAGGGATGCCTTTCATAACAACATGCTTCATGATATATGCCAGGGTATCTAAAACATTGCTGGGTCCTATAAATACTTTGTATATTGATTGGCTATGAAATCACAAGAACTATTATAAATTGTAATTATCAGAACATAAAAATATATATCAAGGGGCTAGTAACCCCCCCTTCTTTATATATTACTAAATTTGAAAGGAGAAACCTTTGTTTTTCCTTTTGGGCCACCCTACCTCGGTGGGATATGGCTGGTACGTTGAATAAAGAAAGAAAAATATATATAAATTAAAATAAAAATGAGAAAAAAGGCATATCGGCAACACTTCTGCAAGCGGAAGGAGTCGATGTTGCCATCAGGTGAGCAGCCAGAGCCAACTTTACGGTCTTTATCTCGGTAAGTACCGACCCCAAAAGAAATTTTTTAATCCTGTAACATGTAGAAAAATGTGTTCATAAAAAAAAAAAAAAAAAATTCAAAATATTCGCAGCGCCAAGCGAGCGAACGTAGATCAACGTTTGGACAGTTTAAGGGTTAAATATTGTACATTACGTTAATATAGA